CTCAACATCAACGATCTCTTCATCTGTTTCTAGGGGTGGCATTCTGACCACCACTGTAAGGGGAGCATGCTTCCCACTAGTCAAACTATTGTTTTTTGCAGGGCTTCCCCTAGATCTGGAAATTATGCCAAGGGTTCCTCTGGGGCAAAGGGTTGAGAAAGGCTGATTTACAGTACATGCTTATACTGTTAGGTTTTATCAATTTATGTAAAACCTTTATCCCAAAATGAATGTAGCGCAGACCCCTAACGGGCCCTGCAGATTTGTCCCGGGTTCTATTCCCAAATGAATGCAAAGCAGCCAGGCACACTGAAACTCCCACAGCTTCACAACACAATGACCAGACAGTCTCTTTTTTGGATTTATGACCTTGGTTGGCTTTTTTTGGCTCATTGAATTTGGGTGGGGTGCAGTCTCCAAATTTAGTGCACAAAGTAATAAAGGACACTCTCTGACTTAGAAAGACTTTTCAGGGTAACTCCCTTCTGGAGTGGCATAAGGCAGGCAGACAAACAACTCAGGGGATTCCAAGCACAGGAGCAGTCTTAAGTCAGCAACTCTGGAGCAGATGCTCAAAGGGCTAAGCAGCAACACTTACTAGGATCTCTCACTCCAGCCCAGGGCCAGTGCAAGACAATTTTGTGCCCTAGGCAAGACCAGCACTTCTTGCTCCCTACCCCAAAAAAAAAAAAAATTAAAAACAGTAGAAAATATTAAATCAACAAACATGAAACTGCTAAATTTCTTTTACTTTGCAAAAATAAGTGCCATAAGATATCACCAGAACAAATATTAAAAACAAAATATATATTAACCAAATAAATACATTAACTGTATTAATCAGACAGAGAAACAAACAAAAAAAAAGACAGAGTTATAAAACTCCACAGTGATCAGCAGCCAGTAAGGGACTGAGCCTGAGAGGAACACCAGAAGGAGCTTCAGTTCAGCTGCAACACTGGGCCCAGACACCTGGCATTTTCCTCTGTCCTTTCTTCCTCCCCCACTGCCTTACCTCCCCTCAGCTGAAGGATTTTGATGACATGGTGGCATCCCACACGATCAATCAGCATCCCTCACCCCAACCATTGTTGTTCCACCCCCCATCACCTCCAGGACCCACCATCCTAGGCTTGCCTCTGATGGCTCCTGCCAGGGTGCGGAGTCCAGGTTGCGGCTGTCAGTGAGAACAGGTGGCCTACACCGCTTCCCACTCATACACATCGGCCCTGATCATCCCACTCAGATAGTGTTAACCCTGCAACCAGAGCACACTCCTGCCTATTGATTGGCTCTAGCTGTGCAGAAGAAAGCAAACCCAGTACTGGACATGCCCCATTTGGTCACTATCTAGCTCCGTGTTACAGCTGGAGGATCGTGTGTACCGGAGATGTTCAGACTGATCTTCCGATCAGAGACTACTGACTGCCTGGGATTCTGGGCTAATGTCATCACTTCCTATCCTAGGGGGATCCATCACTTCACTGCTACATGGAATACTGTTTTTATATATATATATACTAAATGGTCATGTGTGTGGACAGGCTGTGAGACAGTTGTACAGAGTAAAGACACCATCATACCCTCATCATTCCCTGTGTATGAGGAGAGGGGGGACTCTGCAGAGAAATTAAGATATCATACATTAAGTCCGTAGGCCACACAGAGAGAATGCCGGCTTGTGTTGCACCCAGGTGCCCATAGGTGGCAGTGCGCCCTAGGCGGCTGCCTAGTTTGCCTAGTGAAAGTACCAGCCCTGCTCCAGCCTATAGTCACAATGTCCCCATGTACTTGGATGTCTCCATCCAATACCGGCCAGACACTTCTCCTGTAAGACTCCAGGCCAGATCCTCAGTAAACCCCCTCTGAATTAGCACCAGCTTCTTTCACAAATTAGGTCCCCCAGCTCGTCCTGAGCTGAGACCTGGATTAACTCCTGCAGACTTCAGCTAATCTGCCCAAAAGGGCAGCAGCCCTGCAGGTTGGGTCTTTTCCTCCTGGACAATAATCCTGTTGTTCAAGACCTCAAACTATTTATGCACTCTTTGACCACCAAATGGGCATTCTCCTATCCAGGGATTGGCTGAAACCACATGAATATTCAGACCTAGGGTCTGCCTCTTCCAGCCCACTACATTCTAGAATCCACTAGCAAAGAGAGCAAAGTAGTTGAGCTTGCAGCCAGCAAGACCTAGAACAGCCAAAAATAATCACACACTGCTTCACTGATTAGAGAGGAGCTAATAAAACTAAATTTACCTCAACCTCCCTGTCAAGCTGTTCTCAGAGGGTGCTACAGGAAAAAAAAAACTGTTGCTGTAACTGCTTAAAAAAGCTGAAGTTCAGCTTTCATTTTTTTGTCCAGTCTGTCTAAATTTGCTAGCCCAGTTAACACTACTCTCTCTCAAGATTGACAATATTGCTGTCCATGGGTGGCTCAGCTGGTTCTCCATAGAGTGGAGCCACCTTAAGATAGAAAGTGTGTTGGACTGGCCAGACCACCAGGTAAAAATAAAGGAAAAAAGCATAAAAAGAAAACTAATGACCACATTTAAGGATTAATAAGCTGGACTATCAAACTGAGTGTGATTTGGGCCACAATTGGCATGGAGTTAGAAAAAAAAAACACATTTTCAGTATTACTTTGCAGAAAGACATATGAAGAGGATCAGTTTAGCACATGTAGCAGCTCCTTCACACATATATAGAACTGAGATATGAAATGTATGACGGAGATATGAAATCTATACATACTATAGTATTCATTGTGCAGCAATGATGCATATAGGAAACTGCATATTAAAATAAAAAAGTTACAGTCACAAGCCAAGCACTAGCTGCAGAAGGGAGCTATATTTTAAGTGAAATCATGATTATGCATGTCTTCTCTGTGTTTGTTCTAAGTAAGGTGGCTATTACCAAAGTAGACAAGGGCAGGGCTGTGGATAATGCGGTACCACTGGTCCTCCTGTACGGGGTCCAGACCAGCAGGTAGGGCGTAGGAAGCTGGGTGAAATGGATGTGGGTAGGGAGGGTGATAGGCACACCGGGGGGAGCGAGGCAATTACTGGAGATGATCATCTGTATGGCACTCTTTGCAGCACCTCCCGGAGCAACATACATTTCTTCATGCTGCCCAAGCCCCCCCTGTGTGCCCCTGCCCCCTCAATGCTGCCGGCTTCTCTCCTCTCCATCCCTCTCCTTAGGAAGAATAGTAGGGGAAGAGTCCATAAATATGTAACATTTATCAGCCCCTTTCTCTCCTGAATGAACACAATGAGTGATTGGTACTGATCACTCACTGTGTTCAATCATAACTGAAGCTTAGTAAAAGGTGTTTATTTGGGGGCCCTGTCACGTTGGCTGTATGGGGCCCCGTGGTTTCTCACAGCAGCCCTGGGCAAGGGTCAATACATTACAATGACTCATCCTGTATCATAATAGGAAATATTTTAAATTTGACTTGTCAGCCTCACAAAGTTATGTAACACAAATTAGATAATCCGCAATGCAAGAAATACTGTATATATCTTTACTACTCATTCCCAGCTGCAGCAGGTGTACTAAAACACAAAGAGGTGCGAAAAGGCCCTTATAGTTCCCCCTTAAAAAAACTGTTCATAGATGTGAGCTAGCTTTTCATGCAGTAAATTCATATGTTTTACCACAGGAAAATAAGCAGGTTTAAATAGGCCCTTACACACATTCATTTTTTTTGTATATACATCTGTATTTACAAATGACACAATCCTCTACATACAGAATTTGGGTGAGGGACACGCTAACCAGGAATGCACCTATTAATGAAGCAGAGATCCTCATTTTGTCTTGGTCATTAAGACACAGGTATAGTCTATGTATAGGGTACATGATTTAGTCATATGGCAGATGAAAGCAAATTCCACAAATCATTTCTTTGGTAGTGAATACTCTCTCTTCCCAAGCTTGTTTCAAAGTCCCCCATACCCCCAGCCAATTCAACAAGTTTAATTAAGCTCGAAGAACCCGGGAGTAAATTAGCCAGAACAAGGGACAGTTACCATGAAAGGATTACCATATCAATGCTTGGAAGTCGGTCCCCTTGGCTCTTGTGTGAATACAAATCAATTACCAGGAGCTGTGAAGCTGGCTTTTCTCTCCAGAGTATTAATGCTTGACAAAAGCTGGGATACAAAGAGAGCCCTGTTAAATGAAGAGAGAGTGTGTGTGTTTGTGTGGGGGTGGAGAAATGGGGGCTTCAAGGAAAAATTAAAGTGGTTGGTGTTCAAGTTTAACTGAATTGTATTTTTAAAAATGTAAACATTATTTAAACATTCTTTAACAAATGCATTTTATTTGTTTTACGGTAGCCCAGCATGTGGCCAAGTCTTTTCACAACAAATTGTTACCCATGCATAGAGTATTGCTACATGTTATGAAATTTCAATGATCTTTTTTTTTTTTTTTTTTTTACAGGGGACACAGCAGGTGAAGAAGTTCAAGTGTGTCAGAAATGCTGCGCCCAGTTTGACGAACCCTCTGATTTCACCCGACATAAAGAATGCTGTTCTCTTGACAACCAAATTGTTGTGATTGTGGAGAACCAGGGAGAGTCTAAAAAGAACCAGCAAGAGAGCATTATTGAGGAATCTGCCTCACAACCTAACTCACCAGAAATTGCCGAGTCAGAAAAGAAAACAATGGTGACTGGACAATGTGACCAAGAAACACATTCTCAAATGATGGGATCTGTAAGACCAGAGATGGACAAAAAGGGTGTGGGACCCTCTCAGCGCTTCCTTATTCCTAATGGGGGTTTAGTAATGGATGGTCTGCCAGGACCAAAGGTAGGTCTGGCTCCTATGAGTCAAGAAGCCGTCCCTGGAGGTCAGACTGCTACAGCTCCCATAAACATTCCCATGATTCTGGAAGAACTTAGGGTTTTACAGCAGAGGCAGATACATCAGATGCAAATAACAGAGCAAATATGTCAACAGGTACTAATGCTTGGATCCCTTTCTATGACTCCTTCAAATCCGACAACATCGCAACCAGAAAGGAACACTGCAACAAAACCCTTACCTGTCTTCAGTCCATCAAAACAATCTGAATCTATTCCAGAATCAACAAAGACATTTTGCAGAGATGAGCCCTCCAAGCAGACTTTTTTTCACCTCTACAATCCTATAGGGCAAGCGTTTGGGGCTAGGAGCATTCCAAATATAAAAGACAAATTGATAGGGGGCATCTCTGAAAAACCACTTCTAGGACAATCTTCACTTCCAAGCTCACCAGCAAGCCCACTCATTTCACCACACACAATATTTTCACCAAGTTTACCAAGCTTACCATCTGGATTATTTTTAGGGGCTAGGGTATTAGAAACTACCCCAAGTCATTTAAAGCAGAAGAACAATGAGTCGCTACGTGGTGAAAACCAACTAGAAAGATCATCAGGGAAGCACAAATGTCGCTTCTGTGCAAAGGTTTTTGGCAGTGACAGCGCCCTTCAAATACACCTTCGTTCTCACACTGGGGAACGACCATACAAATGCAATATATGTGGAAACCGTTTTACTACCAGAGGCAACCTTAAAGTACACTTTCATCGACATAGGGAAAAGTACCCTCATATACAAATGAACCCACATCCTGTTCCAGAGCATTTGGATTACGTCTTGACTAGTAATGGACTTCCGTATGGCATGTCAGTACCTCCAGAGAAAGCAGAGGAAGAGACAATAGAAAAGAAACCAGTTGTACCTCCAATAATGTCAACAGAAGGCATAAACTTCTTCTCAAGTTCATCAAACCAAGGATTACCATCACTTAACAAGCTGGTACTTGTGAAAACAAATGATGCTGCTTTGAAAAGTTCTAATGTATGCCCAAAATCAAAGTCTGATGAAAATACCCCTCCCCTTGAAAGGTCATCCACTGGGATAGCTGATGTTAGTAGTAGGATGCAACTTAGCAAGCTGGTTACCTCATTTCCAAGTTGGGCACTGCTAGCCAGCCATTTTAAATCTGGAAGTTTCCCTTTTTCATATACTGTTGAACCACTGGCATACTCAGAGACTTCAAAATTACAACAGTTAGTTGAAAAAATTGACAAGCAGGCAACAGTTCCAAACCAGTGTGTTATCTGCTTACGAGTATTAAGTTGTCCCAGGGCACTTAGGCTCCATTATAACCAACATGGAGGGGAAAGACCATTCAAGTGTAAAATATGTGGGCGGGCATTTTCAACTAAGGGCAATTTAAAAGCCCATTTTGTAGGTCACAAAACCAGTTTATCTTCAAAACCTCAAAATTCATGTCCAATTTGCCAGAAAAAGTTTACCAATGCTGTCACTCTCCAGCAGCATATAAGAATGCATCTTGGTGGGCAGATACCAAATGGAGACATATCACCTGGAGTCAGCAGCAAAACAGAAACCATAGAAGACAAAAGCATTCCAGATTTTTCAGATGAAGTTAGTACTGAAGATGACTCCTTGGATGTAAGTGAATCTGAAAGTGAAAAGGCAGCACTAGTTGAGTCAGAAATATCAAGCTTGGATGATGACTCCACAGCTTCTGTTGTAAAGAACAATGATGACAACAGCGCAGCACCTTCTGCTGCTCTCCAGCCTTTGCCTTTTCCTGCCACAGAATCAACTGTTTCTCCAGATCAACCCCTTAGCACCTCAACTGAACCAGGCTCACATCTAGAGAAAGCTAATAGCACTCATTTAGGTCATGAGGAGGAAGATAAAGCTGAGAAAAACAACAATCCAGAAAATACAGATGAGAAGAGTCTAAATGAAAAAATGTATACAGAACAGAAAGATCAAGACACACAAATAAGTACCACAGCTGAAGGAAGTCCCCATAAAGAGGAAGCCCATGTGTGTGATTTCTGTTCTGAGAAACTACCCAGCACTGAGTCACTGGGGGAGCATGAGAAATGCCACACCAAAGATGGATTGTTCCATTGTTTGGTTTGCAAGCAAAGCTTCCTGGAGGCATCCATTCTGAAGAAGCATGTGCTACAGGCACACCAGGTGAGCCAAACCTTTCCTCCTCAGCCATTGAGCAGCCCCAAACACCCATCTCCAGCCCAAACATTTCTGAAGAGTGAAGCTTTAAGCCCACCCCAGACACTGGCACTGGTTCAGCTTCCAGGGCTACCGCTGACCTCATCCCTCTCCCCTTCTTTGAGACGCAGCCCTAAGCAGCATCTGTGCATAGTTTGTAAGAAGATGTTCTCATCGGCCAGTGCATTGCAGATTCATGAGCGGATTCATACAGGAGAGAAGCCTTTTTCCTGCAATATGTGTGGAAGGGCGTTCACCACAAGGGGGAACCTTAAGGTAGGTTCTCCAGCTAGAAGATCACCTTGTAACAAACACTAAGACACATGATTTGGTAATAAGCACACAACATGCCATCTAAGATTGACCGATTAGATATAATACATAAACACCTGTAAACATAAACTATGACATTTTTGTTATCTTTAAAGCAACCCTGTCACTGGGAAACTTGAAATCAGGCAGAAGCATTCTGCAAAACAAAACAAGGTGACTCATACTTACTTTTTCATTCGGCTGTGACACCAATCTTTTTTCTCTTGCAAAGCTACAGACACGGCTAGAATCTAACACTTTTGGGTATGTTGGATGCTTGGTCCTCCATTGTGCACTGTGGTACTTCCTGTGGTCCCCTATGTTACGAAAAAAAAAAATACTAGTGAGATAACGGTGGGTGGAAGAAAAATCAGTGAACACTAGGGGACAGACTACATGACATGCCCAGAAGTGTTGGATTCCAGGAGTGGCTATACCTTTGCAGGAAAGATTGGAGTCTTTGCCTGCCATAAAGGTATAAAGGTTTTTTGCAGGCTTCTTCTGTGTGAGTTTCAAAGTGACAAGGTGGCATTACTATAAATCTAAACATTAGTGTATTATATCCTTTTGAAGGAAGCCTTAAAAATATCATTAACACAGTGCTCAGTGCTGTGTAAATGTCCTTGAGGATCTAGGCAGCGATGTAGCATGAGGAATTTAAGGGTTGAATTGAACATGCCTGGGGAGCATTTTTTGCTAACTCTGTGTTAAATATAACAATATTTTTCACCTTACCTTATGGAGAGTGCAACATAAAGGACAGGCACACATAAAACATTTCTACTATTATAGAAAGTGTAAAAACACCCATTTTTTACCATTAAACCCATTCGACAGCAGAACTCAAATAACAGTTTTGAGTGGAGTGCACAGTTCTCCTTAGAATATAAATTCCCTTAATAGGTCATCAAGTGATAACTGAAACTGTTTACAGTGTAATGTTCTACAGCTTCTTTTTGCTTCTCCAGGTACACATGAGTACTCATGTATGGAATAGTACCTCTTCAAGAAGAGGAAGACGTTTATCTCTGGATAACTTAGGACCTCTGCTCTCAGGAAGCCCAATGAAGCTGCAAGATTTCCTGTCCAGGGATATTCCTACACAGCTTGTTGGAGTTAGCCCATTATCATTTTGGAATCAATACACAGCTTACCTCACTAATGGTCCACCATCAGCAACTGGTAACATAACATCTACAGCTGCGGTCATTTCATCCCCTGCTCTGATTGGATTACGAGCAGCTAAAGTTGGGCACATTCCAGCTGGAGGACTAGTGGAGGTCAAAGAAAAGAGTCCAAGCATTGCAGAGGCTATGCATGAGAGTCCCATAAAAGAAGAAAAGTAGATTGAGCTTTTTGAACATGGAAGCAGATATGACTGAATGATGTATAAACTGAATTGGGATTTTGTGTTTAAAGTCTCACACTTCTTATACAGCTGACAGTTTCCAGAGATGGTTTTACTGTGTCCTGTTAGATTTCAGTCTAGTAAAATACAGTCAGGTCTCAATGAGATAAAAAAAAAACTAGTGAACAGTGCTAGCATATGTCCCAGTTTACCAGGGACAATCCCAGGTTTGAATAGAAAGCTTCCATTGAAAAACTAAAATTTCTCTAGTTTGTAGAAGCATGTTAATGAATAAAGCATGGATAATTCATTGAATCATCCAAGAACATGTCAGATATGCCTTAATTTTGTATTGTATTTGTATATAGACTCTACAATTATTTTTTCAAGAAAAATTCTCAGTACTGCATAAAACTACATGGACATGAGATAAAGGAAAGAAAACCAGAAGTAGCTATAGCTTTTATGTCAACAACATCTGTGAAACCCAGAAAAAGCTTGATCCGTAACATACTATCATATTCAACGTGAAACACTAAAGTAAAAGCATTCCTGCACTTCCTAAAAAGGTGGCCTATTGGACATTGAGCTTATCATAATGCATCATACCATTATCTTTGCAACCAGGAGGTTAGAAAAGCTAAAATTGCTTTCAACACAAAGCACAAGCAGGCTTTTTCAGTGCTGGAAACAAAAAGCAAATGCAATAATCCACAATGACCACCATTCATCTTTCACAGTTCGACCTTTTTTTCAAACTGATTGCTTACGAAGGGCTACTATATATGCAAATGATTACGTTTAGACAAAACATTGGTTTTGGATACAGCAGGTAAAGTTAGAACCTCTGTTCCCCTCCTGGGAAGACCTCTGCCTATTTCTTGTCCCAGGTGGTAGCAGACCAAAAGTGTAAAAAATAAATTCTCTATGGGGACAATGCTTGCAGTAAAACCATTGCAGAAGCTCTGAGCCCTCCCCACATTAAATAAAAAAAGTTTATATTGCTGTGTTTCTGCTAGGACACATTTCCTATAGCTCTCTGTCCCAGGTGTCACCAGACACCAAAAGAGGACGTGGGGGTAAATATGGACCCAGGCAGCAATAAAAACCATACAGAGATCATAGTCCTTCTCTATCCGAAACAAACACAAATCTGTATGGGCCAGACTTCTGTTTTAGTACATAAGCCTGAAAGAGTTAAATATGTTCCAAATTCTGATTATCTGTAACATTTTACAAGTGCACTGCTAAAATGCCTGCTCACAGGCGGTGATTTCACAGTGATTTCCCTTTATATGTGCCTACATATGATAGATTATTTTTGCTAGAGACAATACAGAAATGAAGCACTCCTGCATCTTTTTAATGCAAGAGACAATACAGAGATAAACCACTCATACATGCTTCTCACTATCACCACCAGCCTGCTTATATTTGACATTGACAACTATTTTAATTTTATCAGACTTGCTGTACTCACTGCTTCTGACTTACATCTTAATTTGTGCTATACCGTCCTTTATCTGCTCTAGTATTCTTTTAGGATGTGTTACTGGGACGATGCATGTTAAAGTGCTAGTTCTGTTCTATCAAACAGTAGTATGTTTTTGCTAAAATAGTTTACATGCGTGTGCTTAATAAAAGTATTCTCTATTAAATTGAAAAAATTGTTGTTTTTGTTAATATATATATATATATATATATATATATACACACACCGGTTACACTGGTGCTGTCAGCAGGAACCAGTCCATTTGTAGCTACAATACCTTTGTTTATGGATCCTCAAAATATAACAATGTTTCTAGAATGACAACATACATGCTACAGTTTTGGGTCCATTCGCTCTACTCTTCCTTAAGCCTATTGTGCAATGTTTATAAACTTGCAACTGTTCCTAATGTACGCTAATGGAAAAAAATATTTTCCATTATTGTATATGTAAACCCTTAACATGCTGTTTTTAAATTCTTTCAAAGTCACAGAGCAGATTCGGAAGATTCTTTCTCATACCGATTACATTTAAATATAAAAACAATAACTATTGAATTTCACAAAAATAAATACAGCCCTGGCCAAATGTTTTGAGAATAATTTTCACTGAGTGTTTTTAGAACTTTTTGTGAGATATTACTATGGTATAATGAAGTATAATTACGAGCATTTCATAAGTGTCAAAGGCTTTTATTGACATTTACATTAAGTTTATGCAAGCAGTCAGTATTTCAGTGTTGACCCTTCTTTTTCAAGACCTATGCAATTTGCCCTGGTATGCTGTCAATTAACTTCTGGGTCACATCCTGACTGATGGCAACTCATTCTTGCATAATCAATGCTTGGAGTTTGTCAGAATTTGTGGGGGGGGGGGGGGGGTTATTGTTCACCTGCCTCTTGAGAATTGACCACAAGTTCTCAATGGTATTAAAGTCTGGGGAGTTTTCTGGCCGTGGACCCAAAATTTCAATGTTCTGTTCCTCAAGCCACTTAGTTATTACTTTTGCCTTATAGCAAGGTGTTCCATCATGATTGAAAAGGCATTGTACATCACCAAACTGTTCTTGGATGGTTGGAAGAAGTTGCTCTCGGTCAATGTTTTTGTACCATTCTCTTTTCATGGCTGTGTTCTTAGGGAGTAAACCCACTCCCTTGGATAAGAATCAACCACACACATGAATGGTCTCAGAATGCTATACTGTTGGAATGACACAGGACTGATAGTAGTGCTCAACTTTTCTTCTCCTGACAAGGTTTTTTCCGGATGCTCCAATCGAAAAGGGGATTTATCAGAGAAAATGACTTTACCCCAGTCCTCAGCAGTCCAATCCCTGTACCTTTTGCAAAATATCAGTCTTTCCCTGATAATTTTTCTGGAGAGCCATGGCTTCTTTGCTGCCCTTCATGACAACCAGGCCATCCTCCAAAACTCTTCGCCTCACTGTGCATGCAGATGCACTCACACCTGCCTGCTGCCATTCCTGAGCAAGCTCTGCACTGGTGGTGCCCCAATCCCGAAGCTGAATCAACTTTAGAAGATGGTCCTAGCACTTGCTGGTCTTTCTTGGGTGCCCTGAAGCCTTCTTCACAACAACTGAACTTCTCTCCTTGAAGTTCTTGATCATCTGATAAATGGTTAATTTAGGTACAATCTTAGTAGCAGCAAGATACTTGCCTGGGAATCCCTTTTTGTGCAAAGCAATGATGACTGCTTGTGTTTCCTTGCAGGTAAATAATATTTGTGTCATTCTCAGAACTTTTGGCCAGGGCGGTACTGTGCAAAAGTTTTAGGCAGGTGTGAAAAAATGCTGTAAATTAGCAATGCTTTCATAAATAGAAGTATGCATGGTTTAGTTTCATCAATTAGCAAAATGGAAAGCAAATGAACAGAAGAGAAATCCAAATCAAATCAATGTTTGGTGTGACCACCCTTTGCCTTCAAAACAGCATCAATTCTGCTAGGTACACTTGCGCACAGTTTTTGAAGGAACTCGACAGGTAAGTTGTTCTAAACATCCTGGAGAACTAAATCCTGTCTCTTAATATAATCCGAGACCAACTCAATGATGTTGAGATCATGATACTGCGGGGTCCAAACCATCACTTCCAGGGCTCCTTGTTCTTTTTTACACTGAAGATAGTTCTTAATGACATTAACTGTATG